CTTCCTTCCTTCCTTCCTTCCTTCCTTCCTTCCTTCCTTCCTTCCTTCCTTCCTTCCTTCCTTCCTTCCTTCCTTCCTTCCTTCCTTCCTTCCTTCCTTCCTTCCTTCCTTCCTTCCTTCCTTCCTTCCTTCCTTCCTTCCTTTTTCTTGTGCTAGTCGTGGGGATGAACTCAGGGACTTGGTGCTATTCCAAGGCCTGGGTTCTATTTTTACTTGAGACTAGTGCTCTACCACTTGAGCCACAGCTCTACTTCTAGCTGTTTTGTGATTAAGTGGAGATAAGAGACCTACAGAATTTTCTGCCCAGTTTAGCTCTGAATTGGGATTCTCAGATCTCAGCATCCTGAGTAACGAGGACTACAGGAACAAGCTGCCTGCAAGCACCTACCCACTAACAGTATGTTTTGCCTGGTTGTTTTGTTAAGAAAAATGAACCTAGCCATGAGCAGGTGTAATCCAAGCTACTTAGGAGGCTGAGATCTGAGGATCACAGTTGAAATACAAGCCAGGGCAAGAAAGTTCCTGAGACTCTTATCTCTAATGAACTACCAAAAGAGTTCAAAGTGGCTCAAGTGGTAGAGCACTAGACTTGAGAGAAAAAAAACCCAAGGACAGTGACTAAGTCCTGAGTTCAAGCCCCAAGGCCAACACCAAACAAACAACAAAATCCACAAAAAATAGAACCTATTATACTAGAGGGGGCACGATCTTTCCTAATAGTGGATAGAAGGCTGTAGAGCTATACAGTATAAATATAAAACAACAAAGATGTCACTAGGACAGTGATAGTAAGAATGAAAATGAAGAGACAAATCAGTCTTGACACTATAAAACTTCAGTAAGGCATGAAATTAGAAGAAAGTATGAGATGCACGGCTATCAAAAAATTTTACCAAAATATTTTACTGAGTGTAAAGCTACAAAATAATACAAAAAAACAATTTTCAATTGGTCAAAAATATGAACTGACATTTCACAAAGGATACACAGTAATCATATGAAAAAGATGCTCAAAATGCACTGTGACACTACTACATGTCCACTAGAGTTACTAAAAACTATCAAGGATATATAGCAACTAGACTGTTCACATGCTGCTAAATGGAATGTACAAGTGGCACAACCACTTTGAAAACGTTGGTTTTTTTTTTTTGTCTTTTGGTTTTTTGTCAGTCGTGGTACTTGAACTATGGACCTGGGCACTGTCCCTGAGCTTTTCAGCTCAAGGTGGGCACTCTACCACTTGAGTCACAGCACCATGTCTGGTTTTCTGGTGGTTAACTGGAGATAAGAGTCTCATGGACTTTCCTGCCATCATGGACTTAACTGCAATCCTCAGATCTCAGCCTCCTGAGTAGCTAGGATTACAGGTGTGAGCCACCAGTGCCTGGCCAAAAGCTTTTTTTGTTTTTGTCAGTCCTGAACTCAGGGCCTGGGCATTGTCGTTGAGCTTCTTTTGCTCAAGGCCAGCACTCTACCACTTTGAGCCACAGTGCCACTTCTGGCATTTTCTGTTTATGTGATACTGAGGAATTGTACCCAGGGCTTCATACATGTTAGACAAGTACTCTACTACTAAGCCACAATCCCAGCTGGAAAACGGTTTCTTACATACTTACTATATTACCTAGCAATTGCACTCTTACGTACTATCTAGAAAAAATGTAAAAAATTCTAAACAAGTCATTGTACATGTAATAGGGATTTACTAAGTCACACAGGAGACAGAATTAAAGTTTGGAAATTTTGTGTCTAGAAAAAAATATAATAAAACTGTAAACAAAAGTAAATTGCCTGAAAGTAAAAATAATCAATTTCCAGTTATATCTAGGTTCCCATTCCAGCCCAATTAATTCCATACTAACTCTGTAAACCCATACTAACCACTCAGTTTCCTCATTTGTAAAATGGGGAGAATGATTTATATCCATAAGTTCTTATAACAATTCTATAAACTAACACATATATAACTCTTAGACACATGAAGGGTTTAACATGTTAGTCATTATCAATCAATGTTTAGTGGTGAGGATTTGAGGGTAAAGTACATTTGTATTGTTGGTGCAAATACTGGAAATCAGAATGGAGCTTCCTCAAAAAACTAAAGACAGATCTTCCTTGCAAAAAATATTTTAAAGTAAACTTTTGGAGCACTAATCTTTCTACTAATGACTAGGTGAAATATTAGTTATGAGTACTTGAAATATGGTAGGTTTGGTACCAAGGAGACTTTCTAGATATGTTTATTACCTCTAGTAGTTGATCTTTGTAATCTAGAATTAACAGGTCTATCATATTTCAAACAAAACTCTGATGATTGCAACTGTAATGTTTAACTACAGTAGGTAAGCTAGAGGGAGATATTTTGCTTTACAATAAATTTAATTAATAACAAGTACATCAATGTCAATCATTGTGTACAAATATTAATTTCTTCATGGCTTACCTATAAATATTTAGCTACAAATCAATATACAACACAGTAGTTGCTTCAAATTTTAAAAGTTTCCATAATACCATATATTTTAAAATGTTCTCGTATAAACCAATGGAGAAAAAAATTAAATCAAAATAACTTAGTACATTTATCTGAAATACTTGAACCAGAAATATTTAATTTCAGGACTATAGATTTTGGAATTTATATACATATGAAATAACTTGGAGATGGCAACTAAGTCTAAGCACAAATCACTTTAAGTTTTTTTTTGGAGGGGGGGTTCTGGTCGTGGGTCCTGAACTCTGGGCCTGGGCGCTGTCCCTCAGCTCTTCAGCTCAAGGCTAGCACTCTACCCACTTGAGCCACAGCGCCACTTCTGGCGTTTTTCTTTTTGCTTATGTGGTGCTGAAGAATCGAACCCAGGGCCTCAGGCATGCAAGGCAAGCGCTCTACCACTGAGCCACCTTCCCAGCCCCCCCATTTAAGTTTTGTATATACCTTGTACACATAGCTTTAGTTAAATTTATTGTGCTTATGTTTTGACTATGACTGACGCACAAAGTCAGGTATGGAATTTTTCTACTTCTGTGTCATGTCAGCTTCAAATTTTGTCAACCTACAATTTTGTAGTAGTCTGGAATTCAGATTTTTGGATAAGATATGGTCAACCTATATTTACTTTACAAAATGTTACAAAAACTTAATCTCAAAGGATAATTCATCAAGTGATAACACATATAAACCATACTAATCACACAGCCAGTAAAATATGCCAAGGTCTAAATTTAACTAAAAAAATAATTAAGTATGATAGCTCCCATTCTCTTATCCACAGGGGATAACTTTCTCTGTGGATCACTGAGCCCACACATATAGTACTGAACTATAGATGCATTATACTATGTTTTTCTTACTATACATACATCACTAATAAAATTTAATTTATAAAGTAGAAAGAGATTACCAACAATAACACATAGCAATGATAACAATGTACTGTTTAAAAAGGTACATGAGTATGGCTTATCTGTCTCCCTCCCTCCTCCTCTCTTTCCTTCCCTTTCTCCTTCCTCCTTCCCTTTTCTTTCCCTTCTTTATTTCTCCCTCTTTCTCAGTCACCAGAAGATAGTAGGTACTTATTGTATCCCAAGGTTGAGTATCACTGGCCAAAGGGATGATTCATGTTCTTGGTGGGACAGAGAAAGACATTATTGAAAATTTATAATGCTACTTAAAATGGAATACAAATTATTTATTTCTGGAAAATTCCATTTAATTATTTCAAAACACAATTGACTAAGCAACTGACACTACAAAAAGTAAAAACACAGACCAGGGATTACCTAAATATATTAACTTTAAAAAGTAAATTCAAGTTCTCAGTTGTAAAAGCAAAAGTTTTTCCACTGGAGCTCTCAGTAGTACAAGATAATTTGGAACATTTAATTAAACGAGCTGTCAGAATCTACTATATAAAACTAAGCAACTATGAATTTACAAGTGTGATCCATTAACCTGTGGGGGACTGTAAGATCATTTTTACAGTCTGAAGGTACAATCCAGTTTCATAGTATTTTTCGTTGTGCTAACGTTTTCACTGATGGTGCAAAAGTAATAATGGATAAAACTGCTAGCACCTAAGCACAAATCAAGGCAAGGGCCATCAAACTCTATTAGTAATCACTGGATTCTTTGTGTTCATGCATTCACAGGAAAAGTATGTGTTTCACTTACAAATGTTAATCACAAACCTTTTGCACACATAGTTTTGACACACTGTGAGTCAACATTTGAAAGCTCTGCATAATTTGGTAAATGAATATTTTCTACATGATATGTTTCAAAATCATGCATGAGTAGAGAGGCATTCAAAATTCAAGACAGAAGCTGGACACAGTGGTTCATACCTGAATCCTAGCTATTTGAGAGGTTAAGGAACAGGAGAGGAGGATCACAGTTTCAGGCCAGCTCTGACACAAGGTATCTGTCCTCAAACTGAAGGCACATACCTGTAAGACCGGCAACTACAGGGAGCTTAAATTGGGAAATTGTAGCTTAGCTATGTAGAGAAATGTGATTATTCTAAAAAATAAAATAAACAGAGCTGAAGGCACGACTCAGTGGTCGAGTACCAGCCTAGGAAGCATGAAGCCCTAAATTCAAATGGTAAAATATTGTTGAATAAAAAAATTAAAGACAGCTAAACGGATTTTAATTTAGTAGAACACAGAAAAGTACAATGACGTAGTTTCAGATTCTATATTGTAACCAATATTTTTTTTAAGTAAGACCAGCTATGATTGCAAAAGTAGGGAGGCCAAAGCAGTAGATTACAAGTAACAGGCTATCTTGCACTATAGAGCAAAATCATGTCTCAAAAAAATAAAACAAAACAAAAGCAAAAACCAAGTTGTGGTATAGTATCATAGAAGAACATTTATAATTATATATAAAAGCTATACACGCCAAATTTTATTCAGTTACTTCAATTACACTTAGTAGAGAGAACTTTTAACATTTTGAATAAAGAAACAAAAAGCCCAAGACCACAACTTCTTACCCTGGCTGTGAGGACTTGCAGGACTAAGAGATGGCTGGTGTAAATCCTTAGTTGGTGTTGAGTATGATTCTTTTCCTTGGCGTTGATTCATCTTTCCTGGTGTCAAAACTTGAGATTCGTCACTGTTTGCTACAATAGCTCAAAGAAAGAGAAGTAAAATAATTAGTACTAAGGTTGAAGATTTATTTGACAACAATATGGAATCAAATTATGAGTCAAATGTTCAAATATATACATATTTCTTACTCAACACTTCTATAAATTCACATAATCATATTTTGTTTTATGTTGGCTTTCTACAAATCCAAGAGAAACTGACAGTCTGAGTGAGTGAAATATGCAAGAAACACACATTATAAAATGAAAATACACACCCAACTGATAATGAGCAGCACCCTGATATTTCCTGTGTGCCTTTACTCTTTCTATGTGCCAGTAGAATGAACAACGGGCAAAAGACAAAGGCATTTCAAAAGAGAAATACAAATGGTCAAAAAGCATATGAAACAATATTCAGTTTTACCAGTAACATGCAAATTATTAGCAGTATAAAATAACATTTTCTATTTCCCAAAATTTCTATTCTTGTCTTAAAACTAAGTAGTCAGTAAATAAAAAAGGTAAGATTCTAACTTATTTGATTCCAAAGTGTTTTTGTTAAATTTTTCTATCACAATAATCAATTTAAATGGTACTTTGAAGATGCTTCTCACCCATTGCTAATACAGGGAAACAATGAAAACAGATTTTTTTAAAAAGAGGAAGCGAAAAGAAAAGATGAGAAAATAAAAACACTCCAAGAGTCTAAGAATCTGACTCTTTTACTCTGTCTTTTCAGGCAGTTTAGTTTCAGCTCAAAAAAGAATGAGAGGCTGGGCGCCAGTGCTCACGCCTGTAATCCTAGCTACTCAGGAGGCTGAGATCTGAGGATCATAGTTCAAAGCCAGCCAGGGCAGGAAAGTCCATGAGACTCTTATCTCCAATTAACTACCAGAAAACTGGAAGTGGCACTATGGCTCAAGTGGTAGAGTGCTTGCCTTGAGCTGAAGAGCTCAGGGACAGCACCTGGGCCCAGAGTTCAAGACCCACAACTGACAAAAAAAAAAAAAAAGAATGAGGCGGCCAGGTGGTGGCCCAATAGGCACTTAGGAAACTGAAATCTGAGGATCACAGCTGGAAGTCACCCCAAGCAAGAAAGTCCATGAAATGTTTATCTCCAATTAAGCACCAAAAAAGTTAACTGGAGCTATGGCTCAAGTGGTAGAAAACTAGCTTTGAGCAATAAAGTTCAGGAACAACATCTAGGCCCTGAGTTCAAACCCCAGGACTGGCACCTCCCTTTCCCTACCCCTGCAAAAAAAGAGTAATCTCGACTTTCTCTAGTTTTAAATTTTCACATTCACATTTTTGTCACAATTTTTATTCAGTTTGCTTTAATATGTCTCATTGTGTTCATTTTCAATATTTTAGCTCCTTATATTTCAAAATAAAAATACAAACCTTTCACTTAATTTAAGTAAAGGTATAAAAAAGTAATTTATACCACCAAGTCAAAAAAATTAAAAAAACTATAGCCTGAAAGTCCTAAATTTATATATCTCCTAAACTAAAACTTAGTCAAGTTTAAGCCTTACAATTATGTCTTTTAGTTAACAGACATCTCAAGTTTTCCTGAACCTATTTCTAGCTTCTGCTTAAACTCTAGATCTGCCTCTCCTCCTCTATAGTTAATGGCATCAGTACTCTTTTTTCTCCATTTTCTCAAGCCAAAAACCTAAGATAGGGCCTTTGATTTTCCTTTCTCATATCTTACATCCTATTATCTATGATTTTAGACTGTACTTCAAAATTGTTCTGGAATCCCACTACTGTTCCATTTCCACAACTACTACTCTGAATCAAGGCAACACTTCTACAGACCAACGGTACCAGATGTTACCTTGCTTCCTGGATATGCAGAGTTCATTTTCTAAACAAAAGCTCAATCCTTTTAGATGGCAAATCAGATTGCCATCATGTAGAAGTACCCTCAATGGTTCCCATTATTATAATCAAATCCATGATCTAAATGTCTAGCACCTAACTTTCCAACCTCATTCTCCACCTCTCTTCTGTCACAAGTAACTTGGCTCTTGCCATAACAGTCTTCTTGGTCTCAGGGCCTTTCTATTTCTTCTTCTAGCTCCTCTCATTTGCTGTCAGTGCTCAAATTTCATCTCTTTAGAAAAGCTCTCTGGTTTCTTCATAATGCTCTTTACTAAATAAGGTCTTATTTTACTATGGCACAATTTATCAATTTTATGGTTACTTGCCTACCATTTCACAGCTATACTCTTAACACCTAATACTAAATGGTTTACATTGTAGGTATGATATTGCTGAAATCTTATTGACTATAGTCTGGTTTTCTCCACTAGACTTTAAACTTCTTAAGAGTAAGTTTGGTCTACCTTATTTTCCCTTAAATTTTCAGTTCTTGGTATGTTTCCTGGCATATTGAAGGTACTGCATCCTGGCATACTAAAAATATTGAATGAAATCTTATTGAAAGAAACAATTAATTTGCTTTGTATCTTTAGAAACTTTTATTATCAGAGAGTATAGAGGCTCATTCAGTTACTAAATCTAAGATTCATCTGATTGCTAAAAAAATTACTGAGATTGGGAGGCAGGTATTGGTGGCTCATGGCTATAATCCTAGGTACTCAGAAGGCTAAAATATGAGGTCATGGCTCAAAACTAGCCTGGTCAGGAAAGTCCATGCGATTCTTATCTTAACCACCAAAAAGCAAGAAGAGGAGCTGTGGCTCAAGCAGTAGAGTACTAACCTTGAGAAGAAAAAAACATAACAAACACACAAACAAAAAAAAAAAAACTAGCAACAGTACCCAGGCCCTAAGTTCAAGCCCCAGAAATGGCACAAAAACAAAATAACCATCATCCTGAAATTTAAAATGCAAAAATAAAATAAACTGGCCTAAAGAACATACTAGAGAGCTCTCAGAAACAAATTGGCAAATGTAGAGACATGTGATAAAGGTAAGAGAAAAAAAAAGACCACTAAATTAATAGTATTGGGACACCTAGTATATCACTCTGGAAAAACAGACAGATCTCTGCATCATACCACAGGCAAAGAATACTTCTATGAAAATAAAAGAAACAAATTCATTGAGAAAACCTGAAAGATTTTATAATATAAAAGCAAATTAGGATAGGCAATAATTCCTTTTAAAATAACAAAGCACTAGCCAAATATCCAAACAAATTCATTACATGAAAATTATTGATTGGTTTAATGATCCCATAATAAAACTGAAAAAGCACAAAACAGTAAAATACATATGTATGGTACTAAACCATCAGTTCAATAACCAAGAAAAACTTAGGGCTACAGGTGTAATTTTAAAATAACAATAATGAAAAAAGAAAACCTATTCATTAAAAAGAAAAAAACCCTATGGGGCCAGGCATGGAGAAAAAAGACAAAAGAAGCATAGAGAGTTTGGGGGGCTTTTTTGTTTGTTTTTGTTTTTGGTCAGTTGTGGGGCTTGAATTCTGGGCCTGGACACTGTCCCTGAGCTCTTCAGCTCAAGGCAAGCACTCTACCACTTGACCCATAGCACCACTTCCAGTTTTCTGGTAGTTAATTGGAGATAAGAATCGCACAGATTTTCCTGCCTGGGCTGGCTTTGAACTGTGATATATAGATCTCAGCCTCCTGAGTAGCTAGGATTACAGAAGTGAGCCACCAGCGCCCAGCTGACAAGAGTTATTTTTAAGATTCTAGTTCTTAGCTTGAGTTATAGGTCTAATATATGTCCAGTATTTGATTATATTCTATTATTTATGAATGTCATATATATTATTGTACAACACTATCCTACAGAATAATTAAAGCTAATTTAAAATGTTGTAAGAAAAAAAAACCACTGGTAGAGTTAAAGTATGCCTTAGAATTCTGACTTCACTATATAAACAAAGAAATAGTTCTGAAAGAAAATTTATTTCTATTTAACTCTTTTTAGTCCAGTGTGTGTGTGTGTGTGTATATGTGTGTGTGTGTGTGTGTGTGTGTATGTGTGTGTGTGTGTGTGTGTGTCACTATATAGCCAAAGTTGACCTTGAACTCACAAACTCATGATCTTCCTGCTTCTGGCTCCCTGATTACTAACATTATAGGGCTCCACCACCACATCTGGCTCTTTAAGCTATGTGAAACCAATGTAGTAAGTGTATGATATTGATAACCTTGAAATGAGAAGAGTACATAGAAATAGCAATGCATAGAGTATACCTCTTTACAGAAAAACAGAAATGTTACATTTCTATTTGTTTTCTATCACTCCATTCACAATCACTAATAACTATAGAGACAAAAGAAGAAGTTCTGTATAATATAAAACTCCCTACCATGGCAAGGCACTGGTGCTTGCACCTGTAATCCTAACCACTCAAAAGGCTGAGATCTGAGAATTGTGGCTGGAAGACAGCCAGGGCTGTCATATATATAATATATATATTATATAATATATATATTAAAATATATATTTTTAATATGCTTGTATTCCTCTCCAGATACTAAAAGTCCTGAGACTCTTATCTCCAATTAACCACCAAAAAGCCAAAGTGCTGTGGCTCAAGTGCTAGAACGCTAGACTTGAAGGAGGAAAAAAAAATTCAGGGACAGTGCTGAGGCCTTGACGAACACACACCAAAAAACCCAAAAACAAAACAAATAACAAAAACAACACTGCAATGCATCCTGTTATCTTCATAATAGTGGAACACCTGAAACTTGATAATGGCAGTGACTTTGTTCTGTCTATATACACTGGCACACAGCTGATCAATACTTGCTAAATGACTGAATATATAATTTGGCAAATTAATCAGCTTAGTTTGAGTTGGTTTGCCTACTAAAGATAATGTTACAGTGCCCTCTGCTGGTTGTACTTGTAGTGCATGTAACCTACTTGGCTAGTCATGGTACTTTACTCATCTTAGTAGAAATGACCCAAAATGATTAATAATAGTACTGGAGAATACAAATCTATAACCTTCTTTCCTTTATGAATTCAATTTACAAACATAAAAACTGCATAATTTAAAAAGTTTCAAATTCTTGTGTCTGCCCTTTGTAGGATCTAAGATATAATAAACTTTTAAGTTATAAGTCAGAGTCATAAGCACATAAAATCTAAGAGAATGTATTCTTTTCTTCTACTTTAAAATTTTCTACTGTACCGATACTTCTGGTTGTACAACAAACTGTATATTTTAAATACTGTGAATTGTTGCAAATTTAAATTTTTTTTAATTTGAATATTATCTCCTTTTAGAGAAAAAATACCTATGTGTTTTAACTGGTATGAAGGGGAAATAACAACCAATTTAGGTGACAAGATTTTTTAGCATAGACAAAAGCCTTTGTTATTATTTTACCCAGTTCCTCGTCCTTGAATGTTGAAGAATGAACAAGCATTAAAATGGCTTGTAACAGTTGATAACTACTGAGAGATGAATAGTAAAATTTCCTAAATTAGTATTATTTCTTATACTGCAATTAAACAGAATTAAATTCTTTATTTTTTGATGCATCATTTTTTATTTTGTTATGCTTGAATTCAGCAAAGTAGTTGTTTCATTTTTTTAGTTAAGAATAGAAAGAGCTGGGTGTTGGTGGTTCACACCTATAATCCTAGCTAAGATCTGAGGACTGAGGTTCAAAGCCAGCCAGGTCACTAAAGTCTGTGAGACTCTTAGCTCCAATTAACCACCAGAAAAACAGAAGTGGAGCTGTGGCTCAAAGTGGTAAAGAGCTTAGTTTAGAGCAAAAAAAGCCCAGGGACAGTGCTCAGGCCCTGAGTTCAAGCCTCATGACCGACAAAAAAGAAAAAAGAATAGAAAAAAGGTACATTGGGCCAACAACCAATTGCAGCTTCTTAGATATTCAACCATTTAGCCTCAGGCTCTTCATCTATGATATTAATGTTTTATTAGATGATCTATGATGCTCTTTTTCCTTCTAGTAATTCCATAATTTTTAATATGCTTGTTCCTCTACAGATACCAAAACCCCTTAGGGGGCAGGTTTTATTCATTGGATATATTAAAAGGGTGATACAATGTTCCTATCTTCCCCTCAAAAAAAAAAAATTAGTAAAATTTTTGAGGTAAATTGGATCTAATGTTAAAGTAAAATCCTAAGAAAAAACATGTTTCACTTTTAACATCCTCAATATACAAAAATTTCAAAATCAGCCAGGCGCCAGTGGCCTATAATCCTAGCTACTCAGGAAATTGAGAGCTGAGTATCTTGGTTCAAAGCCAGCCCTGCAGGAAAGTCCATGAAACTCTTATCTCCAATTACCCACCAGAAAATTGGAAGTGGCGCTGTGGCTCAAGTGGTAGAGTGCTTGCCTTGAGCTGAAGAGTTCAGGGACAGCACCCAGTCCAAGAGTTCAAGCCCCATGAATGACAAAAAAAATTAATATCAAATTATACAGAAAAATTCTGATGAAGAAAAGCAAAACTTTCATATGGCAGTAAGTTCCTTGTATCATCTTGAGTAGTGTTTCATGCTTTATATGATTTTAGGAAATACTACGAAGAGGGCTAATTATAAATTATACAACTAGCTAAATAAACAATGCGTTCTTTAGATTAATCATAATGTAAAAGAAAACACTATGAATCTCAGATGACAATGAGATTGATGGGTTTTGAGCATTGATTGACATTCTTACTCTACCTTGTATTTCAATGCCTAGAAAGCGAGGCAGATCAAAACTGAAATAGTACTTGATTTTTCTATGTGCACATTGAAATACTACCATGTCCCCGAAAATGAAATTTAAACTTTAGCTACTTACTTGATTGCCCAAGGATATCTTTGCTATCACCAAGCTTTTAGTGCAGAATAATTGAGGAGCAAACAAATACAATCCAAACGAGGAAGAAGAAAGTGCATCAGGACGGAAGCAGCAGTGAAACAAAAGGACAAGGAAAACAGCGTTAGTCTATAAGTAGAAAGCACATGCACTTGAATTCTAATTATCATAACTCATGAGATATCCCCTTTCCACACCAAAAAGACCTTGGCTTAAGCATTATCAAACATGTTTTAATTTGAGGATAGAAAGGTAAGAAGAGAAAAATAGAATCATAAAAAGTGTTTTGTTTTGAAGCTACTCAAGTTAAAAAATTATTTTCAAATATAATTCAAGATTAAGATAAGGAGTGGAAATCTATCTATTTAAAAATGTGAAAGCCAAAGTTATTCTTAAAGTTTAAGGCAGTTTAAAAATATACAAAACTCATGCACTATTAAATATTAGTACTTGATGCCATGAAAGTACTCAATATTATAGATTTAGTCTGTTTCTTCTATAGAAAAGAAAACAAGCATTTACCGTATGTTTATTATGTGCCAAGCATTGTGCAAAGAGTTTCAACAAAGACATCAAAGTGCAACAACATTCTTCTCAAATGGCAAAAAGAAAGCATTCGTTAGAAGGAAATTTTATGAGTTAGGTAAATTTTTCTTAAAATACACTATTCAAGCATATTGTCTGGAACTTCTGGCATTTCAAGAACTCAAAAGACTCAGTTGTGTGTATGTATGTATGGATGTATGTATTTAGATGGGTCTGGCTATATGCTCCAGGCTGACATCAAGCTTGCTATGTATTCCAGACTAATTTTCAACTTTCCATTCTCCAATCTTAGTCTTTCAAATGCTGAGATTACAGGGGTGTACCACCACATCAGGCAAAAGACTCAATTCTTGAATAAAGAGATTACAAAGACAAGAAAGAGGTAAAATACCCCTAACCTATTAATCGAATAACTATTTTAACATAATTACTCTAAATGTTGTTAATCGATTAAATTATTTAGTCTGCCTTTAGTGGGAACCATTGTCAGCTTTCCTTCCTTTCAAACACCAGCTATAGTAACATATCAAAACTAAAGTTACAAGGAACTCCACTGATGACACTGTTTTTTTTTTTTTCTTTTTCCCCGCCCCCCCCCCCCCCCCCCGACACTGTTTTTACTTAAAGAGCAAGAGGGAACAGTAATGTGCTGTGACAAAAAAAAAAGTAAAGTTGTTTGTTCTAGCTTTCTGTAATCATGCAGAAAATCTTGGACTTGTAGCCAGGTGCTGGTGGCTCACACCTGTAATCCTAGCTACTAAGGAGGCTGAGATCTGAGGATTGCAGTTCAAGGCCAGCCCTGGAAGGAAAGACCTTGAGACTCTTATCTCCAATAAGGCACCAGAAAACCGGAAGTGGCACTGTAGCTCAAGTGGTAGAGCACTCACTTTGAGCTGAGGGACAGCACTCAAGCCCAGAGTTCAAGCCCCACGACCCACAAAAACCTGTAATCCTACCTAAATGGGAGGCAGTGATCAGAAGTTGAGTGAGTGTGTGTGTGTGTGTATGTGTGACTAAGATCCCAGTCTCCTCTGTAGCTAAGCTAATAGATATGAGCCATCCAGCAAGGAGAATTGTGTTCTAAGGCAAGTCCAGACAAAAAATATCAATGAGACTCCTATCTCAGCCAACAAGCCAGGCATGGTGGCACACTTTGTAATACCAGCTATGTGGGAAGCATAGGTAGGAGGCACCAATTAAAGGCTATCCCAGTTGGGGGGGTTGGGGTGGGGGAGGGGATTATATCTGAAAAATAACCTAAAGTAAAAGGGACTGAGAGTAAGGTTCAAGTGACAGAATGACTATTCAGCAATCATGAGGCTGTAAGTGCAAACTCAAGTATCCCCCACCCCTAAATTTTAAAATCTTCTTGCACTGACAATTTTCCTTGATTTACCCATAACTTTCTAAAGGAAAGTAGTGATTCTAGTCATACATTCACATAGTTTGAAATATTTAGTTTCACAAGCCAGGCACATTTGAAGGTTTTAGACTTGATCTTCTATAGGGAGTAAAATATTAAAAACCTTGTTTTGTTATATAGTTCTGTATTTTTTATTAACAGCAGAGTGCAGAAAAATCACCCTTAACTTCTGAATCACCACTAACTTCTATAATCACTATTAACTTCTGAATATTTGCTGCCAAAAATCTCCAAATGCATTTAACTCTCAGTATTATATTTTCAAGTACACCTGTGTCATGATCCTAACTTTCAGTTTAAGGAACTGAATAATGTTGGAAATAGACATTATCTATTCAACTCGTACAGCTGGGAAGTTCCTGCACTAATATAGGGGAGGGGACTTTAAACAAGTAAAGTATTCGGGAGCAATAAACCAAGAAGTAGTTGATTTCTGAATGTATATTGAAGGCAGAATAGCAGAATTTCCAAATCTACCCAGTGGGAGATAAGTGAAAGAAGGAATCAAGATGTGTTAAGCTCTGGGAACTGGGAACCTGGGAGGATGGAAATGACATTAACTGAGATGGAAAAGACACTAAGAGCAGCTGGGTTTTGGAACAAAATATTACAGAGTTCAGTTTGGGACAAGTTTGAAATGTCTGTTAGGTATCAAAGTGAAATGACAAGTACACAGTTGGGTATATAAGGCAGCACAGGGAGAAATTCAGGCTGCCAGAGAGAAAAAAAAACCTCATGTTACAATATATGTGAGTTAACCTGTATGATCATGTATGATCAGAATGCCTTAATCACTGAAGACTAAAAATCAGCACAGGATAAAAGGACACCAGAGAAACATATTACAATGGGCAAGAGAACTACGAATCAAGCCAAAACGCCAAAATCAAGTCAAAATACAATGAAAAGTCAACCTTTCCCAGAATACAGATACAAAGGCATTAAACTGGATGCCAGTAAAAGCACCCTTCCCAAGTTGATTTTAAATAATGCTAATGAGAAGCAAGATATAAGTAAGTGAAGATTATATAACATTTTTGCCAAGTAACATATCATTTTAGTGAAGACTTTAGTCTTCTGCACATGGCTAACCTGCACACCACAAACTTTACTTAATCTTAATGCTTTTAGGATCTTAGTTTACTTTGGACAGTACCGTATTGTATCTATAGAGTTAATGTGAAATTACTGATGTCAAATAACTAACTACACAAGAATCTTTTAAGATACTAAAAACTAAAGCTAGGCTTTTTGGGGGGCTTTTTTAAAGTACAAAATACTGCTAGCACCTCAAAAAAATCCAGGAACTTCTCAAGTTTGTTCAGAAAAAAAGACCATTAAGATTGGACAAAAAGGGAACAACAGAATGGTAAGACAAAGAACCAATGCAACAGCGATATACGTAAGACAATATGTTGAAAATGATCTGTACAACTCAGGGGTAGGGAGGGTGAGGGGAGGGAAAATAGGAGAAAAATAAGGGAAAAGGTAGCAAGTTTGACAAGAAACATACTTATTACCTTATGTACGTAACTGTAACCCCTCTGTACATCACCTTGACAATAAAAAAAAACAACTCAAAAAAAAAAAGATTGGACAAAATATTGTCTTTGAAAAACTTGTCTTATTCCTTAAAAAATATCCACAAGTCTTTTGAATACAATATTTATAGCCATTATCTAAATCTTTACTGATTATAAATTGTAAAAAAGTATTATATAAAAATGTAATCTTGCTTAATGTTTGTTTTCTCCACCTTTTCTCCAATTAGCACAAAATACGCCATTTTTTAAGAAATGTAAGGAAAATGTAGAGGTTCATCATCATGATCTCCATCCTAAGAATCCCCTAAGACTCAATCAAACCAAAACAAATGGTTACTTTATCATACCAAAAAAAAAAAAAAAACCCAAACGTGAAATCTATAGCTTTATTTCATTGTCTTTAGCACAGCATTTCCACTTTAGATATATTATTAGCTCAACTTGTCATGTGGTATGTTAAAGGAAAAGCATGAAGTTCCTATCAAGCACTGACACAGCTTATGGCATCTCTCCCACCAATACAAATTGACCAAGCAGTTCTCACAGAAGCAACGCTGCTGCAGCTGGTCCCAGAAATCACATTTTGAAAGGATTATACAAACATCTCAAGGGTGCTCTGTTAGTGCTATCTTTGGCTCCCAGAATAAGAATCTTCACTGAAGAATATACAATGCAGCTGAGATCTGCTTGTTCTTAGAATGGGAGTCATCACTCTATACTTAGCTTGACTTTTTTATATTCTTGTAATTGGCTACAAAATCATATGCACATTTTATTCCTGAGTTTTACAGGAGAGGTTTTAAAGGAATACTTTTCTGGGAACTAGAGCTTATCACTGTTAGATAAGAGCATGATCTGGCCTGCTAGGTAGTTATCTTAAAATAACCAAATGCACACTTTTAATCCAACAAGTTCTACTTCAAGAATCACTGGGGTGATCATTCAAAATGTTCAAAAACATTTGTCCATAGATATTGATCATAACATGATTCACAGTAATCTAAAGTGGTTATTTTAAACTGAAAAACATCTTTTGTATATTAATTTTTTAAAGTACATTATAAAAGCTGGAGGCATAACTCAAGGGGTAGAATGCTTGCTTTATCAAACACAAGGCACTGAATTCAAACCCAGTACCATAATAAAAATCCAACAAAAAACACATTACAAAGAAGTTTGTATTACATGATCCTATTTGTTTTTGTGTACCTATATAAGCAAATTTTGGAAAGAAGCTACCAAAATGTTAACAGTGGTTATATTCAGGAAGTAAGCAATAAACCTATTTACATTTTGGATAAAGGCAAATATTTTAAACTAATATTTTCCATCTATGCTTGCTATTTCTCAGAATGACATAAGTATCTGTTATTAAGTACAGTGGAAAATATTGTCTTATCATGAAATCCTAGAAAAATACAGAAGCATTAACATTTTAAACACAGCATCATATATTACTCACTGTCTCTTGAACTTCAGCAACTTCTGAATATGGCAAGATCTAAAAAGAAAATAAATCTTCTCAGGAGTGATTTAATCTCATGTATCTAAATCTAAAGACTGCCACAGTTTACCAAGTAAGTGGTAAAATAATCTTCTAAGAAGTACAATTTAAAAAGAAGGGATACAGAATAATACTTTTTTGCTGGAAACTGAACTCTTCAATTTTTTTCTTAAATCCTGAGACTTCAGAAAATTCTAATCAATTTTCAGCCTGTTAAATTTTCTCTGGAATGTCCTAGAACGGCTTTCAGTTTCTATTCTTCATGTATATTTTTAACGCTCTGAGCTTTTCACCAGGCAAACCCTCTTCTCCTAAAATACTGCATTGCTATGGCTTCCCTTTTCCTATTTTCCTGCTTCTTTGTCTTCTCACTCAATAAGTGCACTGTCATGACCACTGTACAGGTAACAACTACTTGTTCTTCCTCTACTGGCTTTTTTTTCTGCAGATTCCATTCATGGTTAGGCTCAATTTATCACCTTTGCCCAGGTAATTTCCAAGTCTTTTCTTCAGAACTAGCAAATCTCCAAAACATTTCTATCTGTATGTTTGGACATTTAAGTTCCAGTTCTAAAATTCTATTAACAAAGAAGGGCTTTAAGCTTGGTTTGGAAAGCATTTTTATTTCAGAAAAATAGCACAAAGTAGCTCTCTCCCCAAAACACAGCCACACTGATCTGCCCATCCTTCTTTGTCTCAGATCTAAGCCTTGAGTCATCAGACTCTTTTCCTCACCTAACATCCTATCAAGTCATTAAGTTCTGATTACTTTCTTTGCCTCCAGAGGTCTACCTCACATCCAATTCTTCTTCCTTTGCCATCAATACCACTTAGTCAGACCCTCATCACTGCCTTTCTCAACTCTGTTTCTCTATTGCATGTTTCACCCCACTTACTAATTTACAATTCCAGCTTTAGAATTCAAAAACTGGTAGATATCCTATATGTAGCCACTGAATTCTTGTAAAATGGATAATGAGACTAAAGAACTAATTTATAGTGCATTACAAGTACGTTAAAAACAATAGCAAGAAAGAAAAAAACACTTGTGTCCCTGTCTTGGGGTTAATTTTGCTTAACATCATCTTATATGGTTATATGTACATAGTTTTTGACTTTTTTGTTTGTCCTAGACATGTACTAGTTATTCTTTTGTTTCTTTTGTATTTCTTTCCCCACAGTATAACCCCTGTTTTCACTGTATCTGATTCTGGTGTCCTGCATCTTGTATATACATTTTTAAAATTTGGGGAGAGGAAAGGATATAACAAAATGCTTAAATAAGGATACAGTTTGACCCGCTGTAACAATGAGATGTTGAAAATGAACTTTACAATTTGCAGGGGGGGGAGGGCGGCGGAGAGGGAGGAGTTGGAGAGGGAAGGGATGGTAGGGGAAAAACAAAGTAGGAGGTAACAATGCTCCATAGGAAATGTACTCATAACCCTACTCATGTAACTGTAACCCTTCTGTTCAGTATTTTTACAATAAAAAATGTATATGGGAAAAAGAACTAATTTATAAATTTTTAATTTAGTCATATTGGCAGATGGCTACTTAGTGGACTACCTGGGTGTAACACAATTTACTCTTCCCCAATTGAATACAACTAACTGATCACTCACTCTCTTTGCCATGGTAATGACTCTTCTTGAAATTCTCTCCTACCTTTCTTTCCAAAGTATTTGCTACCCTTGCTCTGTTTCTACTTGGTGCTCTTCAAATACTGGCCATTAAAACAGTTATTCCCCAAAGTTGTATCCTAGATCTCTTTTATGCCTATCCAACATGTTTACCACACCTCTGATTCCACTGACTTGTGCTCAAGCTCAACTCACCACTAACTTCCCGAATGGTGTCCTCACTTTAAGCTATATTGAGCTGCAACACTATCATTTCTTCCTTTTAGCCTTTCCTTTTCCATTAACTTCAGAGTTCCACTTTTTATATAAAATAACTCGATTTTCTTTCTTAAAATGTCCATTGTTTAAGGTTTACAATAGTAATGTTCAAACGTTAAGATCTCAAATCTGTTTACACTCTAAGAAACTATTGAGGACTCCAAACAGCTGTTGTTCACATACTGTTGTTCATTATACTTACATAATTTTTCTGATTTAAAAATTTAAATGAAAAATTCACTCCCTTTACTACCTATCTCAGCTAAGTAGTCAAGGTAACAACAAAATGTGGAATGTTTTGCTGACAGTATATAACCTTAGCTTGTGGGAAAAAGTGGTATTTTACTTCTGTGATCTCTCTTCCTAATACTTCTAAGCTCACTCTTTTCATGAGAAAAGTATCAGACAAGTTTCAGATGGGAGGCACTGTATAAAATACCTGACTGCCAAAACTGTTAAAGTTTAGTAAAAATGAGGTAAATAAAACTAAGTGACAGAGTCTTAAAGGATCTTAATTAGCTTAATGTGGCATTATGGATTAAGACCCTGAAAAAACAACAAAGAGATAAAACTAAGAAAATCTGAAAAAAACATGAACTTCACTTAATAATAATGGGTCAATATGGGTTCATTAATTATATAAAATGCACCATATGTTAATAAAATGGTAAGGGGAAAGTGGGAACACAGTATATGGATCTCTGTACAAACTTTTATAATTTCTCTGTAAATCTAAAACTTCTAAAAGAAAGTTTATTTTAAAAATAAAATTTGGAGAGTGTAAAAGAGGTAAGATAAATTGAAAATATGTGGAAATGAAACAATGAAATAATGTATGTACACTAAAAATACAAAGATGCTATCACTAACATGATAAATATTAAAATAAGACATTAAGCTATATTAAGAATATTTATAATAGAGAACAAAAATAGCAACATTTAATTCTAACTCAAAATACTTGATACAACAGAAATTGAGACAACTCCACTAGTTGTCATGTATACTTGCATAAGCACCACAATGTTGCCAGGTGTTATATAGTGCCAGGTTTCTTAGACTATGATGTTAAAGCTTTCAATAAACTTTAGTAACATTAGTTTTACTTTATGATCTGAATACTTATCAATAACAGTACATATGTAAGAAATAATTTCAGAAAACGAGTCATCTCTAGGGAAACATTCATTGATTACAGTCTAAGAACTCAGAACTAAATCATCTTACAGTAAGGATCCTTACATTTTAGAAATTATTCAATTGGAATTCAAATCTTGAAAGATTTTCTAAATTGTGAACCACTTGTGAACACTACAAAGTATTTTCTTCTGAAGTCATTTATATAATTTTAATACAATAAAAGATTTTGTATTCCAAGTAATCTTTATAAAGCAGTTTGCTCTAGTAACAGAAATACTTGAACAAAAATAATGACTTAATTTAAGATGAGGAATATATTCCATTTTTTAATTTGAAAAGGTACCTCTAGTTCAAATTATTCATAAAAGTTTGACTAAGCCAGGCTTTGGTGGCTCAGGTTGCTGAGATCTGAGGGTCACAGTTTGAAGCCAAACTGGGCAGGAAAGTCCATGAGACTCTTATCTCCAATAAACTACTCAGAAAAAGACAGAAGTTGTGCTGTGGCTCAAGCAGTAGAGTGGTAGCCTTGAGCACAAAGAAGCTCAGGGACAATATGCAAGCCTGAATTCAAGCACCAGGACCAGCAAAAAAAAAATATAGTGTGTGTGTTGCTAGGCGCCAGTGGCTCATGCCTGTAATCCTAGCTACTCAGGAGGCTGAGATCTGAGGATCATGGTGGTTCAAAGCCAGCCTGGACAGAAAGTCCACAAGACTCTTATCTCCAATTAACCACCAGGAAACCAGAAGGGGCACTGTGGCTCAAGTGGTAGAGCGCTTGCCTTGAGCAGAAAAGCTGAGGGAGAGTGCCCAGGCCCAGAGTTCAAGCTCCCCGACTGACCAAAAAAAACAAAAAAAACAATGTGACCCCAACAACATTTGAAGCATTTCTTAGTAGATAATTTCTAAAGTGATTAAGTTCTAGCTCTTGAAAAATATTTTAATACAATTATTAAATGTACACTTGTATCCTGAAGTGTATGTTTTTCAGTACAACTTAAGACAAGAAACACTAATATGATGGAATTATGTACAAGCAAAATAACAAAATGATCAAGTGAATTTAAAAAGAATTAACTTATTTGCAAGAACAAAACTAAACAGACACTGCTTAGTCCAAGCTTTCATGACATCACTTCAAGACTACTGAAATTGTCTCTTAATATATTTAGATCTCTCTCATCCAAATCATTTTGTATCCTACTTCGGCATTCATTTAGCCTATCCACATAAAAATAGTAAATAACTTACCATTATCTATATAAGTCCAAAATTCCTCGCTCTGGCACTTAAAGAATTCCATAAATTTGTCCTGCCAAGTCAATCATTATTCCCATAAGCATCACTCCCTTCCAACATTTATTCTCTTTTTTCTATTTGTCTTATCCTAAACTTTAAGCATTATTCTTGACTCCTACTATTCTCCATCCTGTAGGATAATCCCTACTTTCTTGTAGTATTCAGTTTATATTCTCTGAAGAAAGCTTTTCCAGTTACTCTAGTACACATCAATAACCCACTTTGCCCAATCTTCTAGCTTTTAATTTTACAGAGATTAACAGTAATAGTTATATCAACAATAACATAGTAGCTTTTATTTAATAGATAATTTGTGTGACAATGTATAAGAAAAAATACATCTTTTAAAGATGTATTTTTGAAGTAATACTAATCTGGGAAATAGATATATCATAATCGCCTTTATTGAATAGGAAATCTGAAGAGTTCAAAGAATTACCAAGTTATACAACTAAGTGAAAGAGCTCAAGAGCTCTTATACAGCCCATGCTCTTCAACCATCTCTTTGAGATCTAAATAGCAACTAGCTTAGGTAATACAGTCCAAAGGTGATACTTTATAAATTGTTAACTCACAAGTAGCCCTCAACATTAGTTTCAGATGTAGAAAATTTCTGTAATTTATGCTAAAAGATTTATATTATTTGAAATATGTTTTCATTACTTTAAAACATCTTTGTTCCAGGGCTGGGAAGGTGGCTCAGTGGTAGAGCGCTTGCCTTGCATGCCTGAGGCCCGGGGTCCGATTCCTCAGCACCACATAAGCAAAAAGAAAAAAGCCAGAAGTGGTGCTGTGGCTCAAGTGGTAGAACACTAGCCTTGAACTGAAGAGCTGAGAGACGGCGCCCAGGCCCAGAGTTCAGGCCCCATGACCGGATCCGAAAAATAAAATAAAACAAAACAAAACAAAACATCTTGGTTCCAACTTCTCAGGGTTTAGAAAAAAAATCAGAAAAAGTTGATTAATACCTGCCTAAGTATTCTCATGTGGAAATTAATACTATATTCTTAGATATGGACTTTTAAAAAGTTACAATAAATTTTAAGTGATCCTATTTAGAAACAAGAGGTATGTACAGTCAATGTCTTAGGTTGAATATTCAGAAACAGACATCTTAGTTCTACCATGTAAGTCATAAAGAGATAATTACTCTCCCATATTCTTATTTTAAATAATAGTGAAAATAGATGTATCTACCTTTAATGGCTATTATAAGGACACTCTAATGAAATACATACTTAGGAAACCGCAACTGCTTTTATTATTGTGGGTTTTGTTTTTTGTTTTGTCAGTTATGGAGCGTAAACTCTGGGCCTGGGCACTGACCCTCAGTTCTTCAGCTCAAGGCTAGCGTTCTACCACTTGAGCCACAGCATCACTTTCAGTTTTCTGAGTGGTTTATTGGAGATGAGAATCTAAGGGACTTTCTTGCCCAGGCTGGCTCTGAACCGTGATCCTCAGATCTCAGCCTCCTGAGTAGCTAGAATTACAGGCAAGAGCCACTGGTGCCTGGCTATTGTGTTTTTTTAAGTGAAAGTACTCTAGCCACTTAGCTACACTCTCTAGTCTTATTTCTGACATTAAATTATCACTAAGAACCAGAAAGAGTCTAATTGAGGTTTTTCTATGGGAAGGGTGATGCTGGAAGTTCCTTGCATTGTTACATACCCTTTTCACTCATAGCTGACACTCTACTGCTTGGCCCACACTCCTACTTCCTGCTTTTGCTAGTTAACTAGAGCTAACAGTCTTGCTGGTTTGTCTCTCCTGACTGGCTTCAAACTAAGATCCTCAGATCTCAGTCTTCCAACTAGCAGGAATTTCAGGAGCCAGCAAGTCCAATATGGTACATAGCTGGACACTGGTGGCATACTCCTATAATCGTAGCTACTCAGGAGGCTGAAATCTGAGGATCACAGATCCAAGCCTGCCCAGGCAGGAAACTCTGTGAGATTCTTATCTCCAATAAACTATTCAAAAAAGCCAGAAGTGGAGCTGTGGCTCAAGTGGTAGAGCACTTGCCTTGAGAGAAGCTCAGAGATAGCCCAGGCCCAGAGTTCAAGTCCCACGACAGGCAAAAAAAAAAAAGAAAGATATGTGATCAACATCATGTTCTAAAGATAAAGCTTATTTACTTTTTCTTTTTCTGAAATTTATAGTAAAAATAAAATAACCTGCCATTCATTTTCCATTTATGCTCATGATAACAGTAAACTTAATAATTAGCCAAGTTATTTTTAAGCATATTCTATTCTCTATTAACAAACCTTTATCTAGTTAACTTCTTTTTTGGTTATATAAGATACAAACAAGTTTGACCCAGAAATTTAAAAAAGGTTGGGACCAAGTTAGTACATGTCAGCAAAATTGCATTTTGCTATTAATCATTACACTGTTCGTTCGCTGGCAGCGGAACAAAGGACAGCCACTAAATTAAGATTTATAAACGACTCAATACAATAGTGACTTTATATGCCAAAATGAAAGTTGGCCTCTGCTTAATTCAGACAAAAATATGTCAAAGAACCTATCATCTCACAAATGACAAAATTTCTTATAGTTGACTAAATTTTACTGAAAGGCACCCTTGCTTTAGCTAACAGAACCACTCCTAATAGTCTATAAGCCAACATTTAATGGAAGCAATCAACATACAGTAAGAGAATCGAAAGCTACATCATTTTGGAGCAAAATCTTTTTGTACAAGTACAAATCATCATTGAATTCAAAATTTAATCTACTAGGTAATGTATACTGTACATAACCTACTTACTTATTTTTATGTCTGAATATAATTGAATCACAAGGTAGCAATGTTTATTAAATCTTAGAAATTCTACAGAAAGAATAGACATGGCAATTGATCTTAATTTATAAATAGTTTAAATGTGTCATTTACTGTGCTACACACATAACTGGCTCACAATTTGAGATTTGGAGGCATTTAATTTCCTCTTCTATTAACATGCTTTGATTTCACTATAGACAAAAAGGTTGGGGGAAAACAAACACAAACTATTAATTCAGTATACCTGACAAATACAGATGGGAAGGTAAAGAGACCAGAGACCAGAGAGTGACAGAGAGCAAAACTCAGAAAATTGTCTGGTTGTGTTTGTATACCAACACATCTTAAACTATCTGCAATTCTGTCAACACAGGAGTTCAACTATTATCTTTATTTTTTAAATACTTTTTAAAGTTCTGGGGCTTGAAATCAGACTGGGCTTTTTCCCTCAAGGCTAATAGTGTTCTATCACTTGAGCCACAGCTCACTTCCAGCGTTTTGCTGCTTAATTAGAGAGGAGTCTCTTGACTTTCTCTGGGCTGGCTCCTAACCACGCCTCTCAGAACTCAACTCCTAAGTAGCTAGAATTATAGGCATGAGCCACTAGCACTTGGCCTTTAAAAATACATTTTGAAAATTTGGTATCAATATATTTTATTAAAGTCATAGCTTATAACAGAAAGTCTACAACTTAAGTGATATACTTCTACATTATACTATATTTGAACTACTCACCGAAGTTCGGTCAGGTTCTCCATCTGATAAACCTGTCTCCATAATGGAAGAAGATAGGCTTATGCTCTTTCCATCAACATTTAGTCATCCTGTAAGTCTGGAAACCCTAGAAGAAGAAGTTTGATACAAAATTATGAAATATGGAAAATAAACTATTAAGTATATTAATATATCAATGTATAGTAGTCTATTAAGATAAACTAATAAGTATATTAGAAAGTAAAATAGTGATGGCTGAGAAGGAAAAGAAAAGAGAAAGTATTCTCCTAAAAAGGATAGCTAAGTGGGATAAGCTAGTAAGATTTCTACAAAATGAAAACATGCTTAAAATTTCAATTTTACCTACTATTAATAAAATACAATTAGTTTTCATTATCACATTAGTGAAAACCAAAAGGCATGCAAACCTCCAACATGATCTATGTTCTCATACTTTTTTGCATGTTTTCTACCTATGATGTAGTTCTTTCTAGCATATGATAATGAAAAGCTTTACTTTTGTATTAAGAATTTGTCCTGTCAGTCCTTCCATTGTCCATTTGCTCAAATTTTTCTTACTATTAATAAGCCTTTTTTCAGTTCATATATCATATATTCCCCTTTTTTCTCCTCCTCTTCTGTCACCCTTTAAAAATTAAAAATCATCCTTAGTTTGCTGATATTTGTCTTGCTGAACTTTGCCATAATATTAATCTCCTTTATCTCTACTGAGAGATTTCTTCTTAGTGTTTACACATTCAAATTCTCTATTTGGTTCCCCTGTCTTCATATTGACATATAGGAAGAGAACCTATTGGTTCTCCATCTGTGTGTGTGAGTGTGGATATATAAGTAAGACAGATACACAGACACACATAGATAGCTTTGGATGTCATTTTAATGTTTTCCTGGCTTTATTCCAACTTATAATTAAAATAAATGCAGTGCTTTTCTTAACTCTCATTTTCTGGAAAAATGTACTCCCTCAATACAATTTTTACTTAACTAAATCTTACTTAAAAAAACATTTAAATTAGGAAGATACATAGCAAACTATAGTGCATAATTTAAGAATGATTTTTTTTACATTTTTAAAGGATTATTAGAGAAAAAAAGGGGAATAGAATGAGAATATATGAGAGACAAGAGAGAGCCCATAGGCGGTCCACAAAGCCTGAAATATTTACTGATTGACATGTGATTGTTTATCACACAGTAGTCTCAATGGAAGAGGGCCTTATTGGTCAAATGGACAGATTGGCCCATTCTATACTAGAGCAATTTTTCCATGAACAGAATAGCTATTGGACATCAGAAATACTTGCCTTGCATGCCTGAGGCCCTGGATTCAATTCCTCACATAAGCAAAAAGAAAAAAGCTGGAAGTGGTGCTGTGGCTCAAGTGGTAGCGTGCTAGCCTTGAGCTGAAGAGCTGAGGGACAGCGCCCAGGCCCAGAGTTCAGGACCCACAACCGGACCTCCCCCACAAAAAAAAAAGAAATATGAGGGAGTAACATAACCTAGCCTATAACTAATGTGGTTTAAGAAGATATATATATGGCTACCATGTTGATAAGGGGTGAACTATGATGGTTAATTTTATTATGAATTTGGCTAAGCTATGATGCCCAGATGTTGAGTCAAATACCAAATATAACTATGTTGCTAAGACAGTATATTTTTAGTTGTATTAACATTTAAATCAGCAGCCAGGGTAAAGTAGGTTAATCGCCATAACGTGAGTGGGTGGCATCCAATACATTGAAGGCTTTAAAAAAAACAGAAAAAAAAAAAAAAAAAAAACAAGAAAAAAAAATAGAAAGAGAAAACTGAGATTATCCTAAAGGAATTCTGCTTCTAGACTGCCTTGAAATTTAAGATTTCAATATCAACTCTTCCCTGAGTTTCAACCTGTCTGCCCTGCAAATGTTGAATTTGCTAGCCCCAATGTCATGTGCCAATTCCTTAAAATAATCAATCTCCTTCTTTATCTATACATTCACACATATTCACCCTTCCTAATGGCTCAGTTTTTCTGTATAACCCTGACTAATAACAAACCAGTAAACCTGTATTCATTTCTACTATTTAAGTACAGATATATTCATTTAACCATTCATTTCTCACTGCCTTCTGGGATCTTCTGTTTGTCAACAAAGGTAAAAATATGAAAACTTCACTTGGCAAAAATATTGTTGCCTCTGCAGTTCTAAAAGTGATTTATATTTGACCAATGTAATGTATTGCACAATATTTGGAAGGCAAAAAAGAGACAAAAAGCAGATCTTCTCATGGCAGTGAACGTGCACACTTTGTCAAACATGAAGTTTTGCACCAACCACCAAATATTTCCCTGTCAGCTACTCAGCTGGTAATGCCAGGTAACTAGAATTATTAGCACCAATGACAAACCTGAAACCATCCTATTTCCACAGAAAAGCATATTTACTTGCCTCCAGATAATACATTTATCAGTATCTAATTCCTTTTGTTAGTTTTTCTTTAGCTTCTGCAGTAATTTGTTTCCTCAAACAATATGATCTGACAAATTTTCAATAATTAATTTTAATAAATTTTAAATTAATTTTCAATCAACATACTAAAGAGCAATCATTACAAAGAAGGAAAACTAAGCAGGAAGGGGCTATATCACATGTCACAAGAATTGGGGAGAATTTCAGATATGGTAACCTGGAAAAACCTTTAGGCCTTTAACTTATCTTGGAGTGACTCTGAGCCATGATCTCAGTAACAGAAGGGTGAACCACAAAACTACTCAGCTAGAAATGGAAACAGCAAATACAAAGACACCAAGGAAGAAGCATTAAAAATAGCAAGGAGCCGGGCGCTGGTGGCTCACGCCTGTAATCCTAGCTACTCAGGAGGCTGAGATCTGAGGATCGAGGTTCAAAGCCATCCCAGGCAGGAGAGACCGTGAGACTCCTATCTCCAATAAACCACCAGAAAACCAGAAGTGGCACTGTAGCTCAAGTGGTAGAGCGCTCGCCTTGAGGGACAGCACCCAGGCCCAGAGTTCAAGCCCCACGACCAACAACAACAACAACAAAAAAAAAATAGCAAGGAGACTAGCATAGCAAACAGAAAGAGGAAAATGATGAAAAACGGTAATTAACCTCCAAAATGTAGAGTCTGGTAGACTTAGATTTTAACTGTGAATAATATGGGAAGCAACTTTTGAGAAGTCAAGATATGAAAGGATCTAACTTGCACAGAGTCATTCTGGCTGCTGAGAACAGATTAGAAATTAGAAAGTTACTGCTACTGCTGGTGGGAATGTACACTTATACAACCACTTTGGAAAGCAGTCTGGAGGGTCCTTAGAAAGCTAAAGATTGACCTCCCTTACGACCCAGTCATACCACTTCTAGGCATCTACCCTGAACAACAGGAACCAATATACAAGGACACGTGCACCTCCATGTTTATTGCAGCACTGTTCGCAATAGCTAGGATATGGAAACAACCTAGGTGCCCCACCACAGATGAATGGATCCAAAAATTGTGGTATCTATACACAATGGAATATTATGCAGCCATTAGAAATGACAAAATAATGGCATTTGCAGGGAAATGGATGGAGCTAGAAGGAATCATGTTGAGCGAGGTAAGCCAAGAACGAAGAGACAAACGGTACATGGTCTCCCTGATAAGTGGATGCTAAATCCAAAAGGTTAGGTGATACGACAAAACTAACAGGACTTAAGAAACAAAGAACTCCCGCTCATCTGATTGAACCACTACTAAATATCCCCATGCTGCTGATCACAAATATGGTATATAACATGTGAACACTGTTATATATTACAGACTGTGGTAGACAATTTGCTCCAGGGAAGTTAGAATGAACTTGTGACTTTAAAAATATGTAATCATTTAATCACAATCAAAAAAAAAAAAAAAAGAACCTCGGGGAAGGGAGGGAGGGAGGGGATGGTAGGGGGAAAACAATGGAGGGGGTAACAATGTTCAAGAGGAAGTGTACTCATAACCTCACTCATGTAACTGTAACCCTCTGTATAGTAGCTTTACAATAAAAAAAAAAAAATTAAAAAAATAAAATAAAAAAAAAAAGTTACTGCTATACTCCAGGCAAGAAACATTGGTGGAACTTACCAGAAAGTAGATGTGGTTTTCAACTATCAGGTTTATTCTATATCATGCTATATAAAAAGCAAAGGAAACATACCCAAAGTAAAAAAAAAAATCATAATATGACTAACTAAAAATAGGGAGCAGGAAAAGAATAAAAGAATGAACTGAAAGATAAGTGAACTAAATTGCTCATCTCTGTGAGGAGCTGAGAAACACTGCCTAATAAAAACAAAAAATCCTAAAAGACAAAAGTCTTTAAATAATAAAAAAAAAAAAAAATAGGGGATAATGAAAACCTATTGTGTGTGTGTGTGTGTTTGTGTGTGTGTGTGTATCTGTGCACACACACACACATGAGCATATGCTGGTGTTTTTGTGTATATGCATAGTTAATTGGGAGATAAAAGTCTCATGGACTTTCTTGCCTCGGCTGGCTTCAAATGCAATGCTCAGATCTCAGCCTCCTGAATCGCTAGGATTATAGGGTTGAGCCACTGGCACTTGCTTTCTTCTTCTTCTTCTTCTTCTTCTTCTTCTTCTCTTTTTTTTAAATGAGAGCATATTGCTTGTATAACAACAAAAAACATTTAATCTTTTTTTGTAAAATTATACCATATACCAGCACCCTAAAGGCTCATTTCTTGAAATTGTGTAGTTAAAACTGGGCCTGTATCTTAATCTAAATGCAATTACTAGATGAATTCAAACTTTATAAAAGACTGTGTTCTTGTTTTTGCTATCTGTACCATATCCATACTCCAGACACTGTTTGGAGAACAGGTTCTTCATTGTCTATACTTAACCTAACAAGGTCTCTAAAAAAAAGTAATTTTTCAAAACACTTCTATATTTTGGACTTGAATCAGCAACAGAGATAAGAAAAAACAGAGCTAAGCACAGCTGAGAGGACTAACACATGTCATTTAAGAAAACAACTTAATAAGGCTATACTGAATGAATGGTTGTTAACTCGTAAGGGAAAAAGTGGTACAAAATTGGTTTATAGTTTCCAAT